TTTTTTTATTGCTAGTGGGGTGGGACTAAGTCCCTTGTACTGCGGCCACTTCTGGCCTATTGTACCAGCCCCAGATGATAGGTGAGGGTGATTGTGGAGCAATTGGTGGAATGAAGATTGGCAGGGGAAACCGAAGTACTAGGAGAAAACCTGCCCCAGCGCCACTTTGTCCACCATAAATCCCACTTGACCAGACCTGGGATCGAACCCGGGCCGCTGTGGTGGGAAGCCAGCGACTAACCGCTTGATCTTAGTTGGTTCTGATGTTGTGATATTGTATCTCGTTACATTATTGAGGATTGAAATTATAAGGCAGCGTCTACACGAACGCTCAAAATACGTCCGTTGTAACGAACGTACTTTGCTGAGGACACCACACAGTTACAGAATGAGGTGCGTAGTTCCATTGCAGACAAAAAACTGCGCACCGCATTCTGCAACTATGTGGTTTCCTCAGCAAAATACGTACGTTACAACGGACGCATTTCGTCCCCTCGTGTAGACGCTGCCTAAGGTTGTGATCGGCGTACATATTTACATATCAGTGTTACACACAACAGGATGCCAAACATGCGAATGAAGATTTTCCATCCTAATTGATCTTTATTTCTGTTAGAACGGAATGAGTGCTGCTGCTTAACTTGTTCGTTTTTCTGTGTCCGTTCTAGAGCAGTGATTCTCAACTTTTGTCAGACCGCGGCCCGGTAAATTCTTTCTCTTACAAGATGAGGGCCCGGTACCGGGCCGCGGTCCGGCGGCTGAGAAATAATGTTCTAGAGTTTTCCTAACTTGCAGTATGCTTGGTCTGTGCAGGTCAAGTGAAGGCGAACTCAGCGGGTGTTGCGACCCACAACATCCCTGCGACAAACGGAGTGATCCACGCCATAGACGGACTCCTGTAAGGAAAACATTTCGACCTCTAATACATAAAGCTGTGTGCTGTGAGTTCCGTTATATATGTTTAATAACTTTTACGAAAGGCTTAGGAAGTGATAACCTATACTGAAAAGTAATCAGCTCTGGACTTTTCATATTTCTATAGCTTATATGTATATCCATGGAAGATGATCATGGAATGCTGATAGCATTCTAAAGAGTGTATATTTATGTAATAAATACAGGCATTTTTTTTAATATCACAATTTAAATCACTGTAAGAAATCCTTCGAATGAAAAAATCCAATCATCTCCTTGTTCCTACAATATATGAATTTTATACTGAATTTCGAGAATTATTCAAGGTAAAAGTAAAAAGGCCGGTCACGGCAGCCGAGCGGTCTAAGGCATGCGCTGTCTTCGCTCGCTTGGAAACCGGGATCGTGGGTTCGAATCCCACTCAAGGAATAGATGTTTAGTTTGTGTGTGTGCGTTTTTCTGTGTTTGTGTACAGGTAGAGGCCTTACAACGAGCTGATCACCCGCCCAAGGAGTCCTACCGTATGTCTAAGATCTAGAAAAACCGAAGTGAACGGAGAAGTTCATGGAGGTAGGCCTAGGTCCACTGGGGCTGTAGTGCCAAGAAAAAAAAAGTAAAAAGGTAAAGTTGTCCCTGTGCTTAATCACTAAGCCATGAAGGCGTATGGGGGAGTGAATATTCAAGTGTTGTCCGAAATATAGTACTCAGTGAAAAGTTGGGGAAAAAAGGCACATTTTGGATTTTCACGGCAGAAGAAAGAACATGGTATTCTGGTATGTGATGCCTTGTGGCTTGGTAGATAGATTCGAAAGTTTCGGGGAAACCTGCTACCTCTATCTCAGTTTCCTAAGGAACACTGTCGTGACTACCAGACGTGTCGTATTCCAGAAAATGGTATTCTTGTCTGGGAAAACGAGTTCGACACGATTACGTGGCCTAATGCTCCACGAATAATCATCATTGTTACTGAGTCAGACTGCGCATGCGTGAAGAGATAAGTAGCATGATACCTATAGATAGAAGCATCTTGTGGAACAGCAGGTTAACTAGCGTACAGTCCATGCAGAGTGCTTGAATTCTCAGAGGATTCAAGCGCAGTACGAGGACGCTCTTTTAAAATTAACCGGCGTTTCAATGCTGGGCCTTACGCCGTCCTAAAAAAAACCTCCGTCGCTTTAGTCCGCAAGCGAACTATATCGACCGAGCGACCGCCGCTTGTGGGTGAAGTTAGCGCCAACTTTAGCGGATAGAGGGTGTCGCGTGGTCAGCGCAACGAATCCCCACAGCCGTTAATTTCGGTTTTCTAGACCGAATACGAAGTCCTAAGCAAACACGAAATTCAATTTGTCACTCCAGCATTAACATCTCCTTGCACGAGTGATACAAGACTGTTGCCGAACTTAAGCGATTGATTCTCTAGACGCAACGCGGATCTCGTAATCTTGTACAACTGTATCTTCATGGCATGCATCATGTTACGCTTAATGGAACGTCTACACAACAGATATATCAAGGAATAAAACGATACTAAAGCACCAGCATTCGTTTATTTGGCAAAGACGTCGCTGCACGTTTCGATACATATATGGTCGATACTATAGAAATGCGATCTTAGGGCGAGGGCACACCAAGGAAACTGGCAACAGCAACGCAACCGCGATTTCCGAAACTTGTTATCAACCAGAGTTGAACACATGCTACTGAATAGAGCAGCGCGAATTGAGGAAACGGCAATGCAATTTCCTCAAATTGCGCTGCTTGTTGAAAACTGTTGACAATTCTTGTATACTGGAGATCATTTTCTACTTGGATCTTAGGATATCAGAGAGGTGTATTCTGGTAGAAGTTCACCAACGTTTCGGAGGAAGATACTATCTCCATCTACAGGGCTGAAGGGTAAGCCAACAAGCAGCAGACATACTTTGCCTGCTGTATGATTTTTGCTTGTTTGTTGCGTGACTCGGTCTTCGACCCTGACATTGAAGAAATACGGTCCTCTAGAACGCCGAAACACTTCTACCAGAAAGCAGTATTCCCCAATCGCATTCTTCTACTTTGTTTTACAAATATACATTTTATGCCCAAAAGTAAAGGATTATTTTTAACATCGCAGACTGCATATTTTCAGTCTGTAGAGATCCCATGGAGACAGTCCGACCTTGCACAACATCAATCTGTAGACAGCTGTCAAGGAATCATCATAGGGCTGTAGTTTAAATCGTTTTTGTATGTCAGGCGTTAATTACCTTCTTTGATAAAGAAAACAAAGCAGAGTTTCTAGGGGTAAAACACATTTATTGAAAACCAGAGAAATTATTTTATTTTGTATTATTGTCTTGTGTGATAAAGTTAGTCTCAATTTTTCCAAATGTTGAGTTCCATTTCGTTGGTCAAGTTTTACAGATCTAATCAATTAGTTCTGCATTATTCTTACTAATTTTGAACAAGAAAAATTAATTACTGAGAAAACCGTTTCTAACTTACCTCATACAGCTATATTACGGTACATTATATGACAAATTCCAGATTTCTTTTGAATAAAAAATCATCATAATGTAATAATAAGAAATTATCAATAAAATACAACACGAAGCACGTTTAATATGGTAGTTAGTCACTAAATATGCCATACAAATGACCTATTTACAAATATTAGTTACTGCGTCCACACATAAAATCCCATAGGCACAACATATTCATACCATTAGTTTACATGAATCCTTCCATATCATTGGTACACCCAAAATCATTTGGTAGGATTTACATCTTACATGCTACGCCTATATAGTACATTATGTTGGACACTAACGCTAAACATGAACTCTTTCGTTGCTTACACAATAATAGACTTTTAATAGACGATAAATTACAACATTAAATTAGATGTTACTTTGTTATATACAGTGTTTCCATATAAGCAGTCTTTGTTTCTTTAATTTTTGATCTTTGAAATATTATCCAATGGAACGAGTTTGATACCTGTAAACGTTTACGCCAGCGCAAACTGGATTACGTTTCAATTCCATATTATATATATTACTTCAGATATTTTGGAAGGAAAATAGTTGTATATTTATATACATTATCAATCGTGACAAAGTAATGTGACGAGTGCCTTGCTCGAGGAATTACACCTCTGCAAAAGCAATTAAGTTAATTTTAATCTTCTTAACTATTCAAATACACGTTTACAGGAGATGTCACACCGTGCCCATCGAATCAAGAACGTTCTTCTTTGGTGAAATAAAAAAAAATCTTTAGTGGTTGTTTTGAGTGACTTAAAGGGAAGATGCGCTTTAATCGAGCCTGCTTCCAAGTGAGTTGCCTTTAGTGCTCGATGAAACGTTCAATTCATACGTGTTAAAAGATTCTTGCTGATGTATGAAAAGATTCTGTTCTACATAAACTTGCATTTTTTCAGTCAAAAAGAACATTCACTGGAATATATAGGCTTATACATATTTGATAACTGGGAGATTACATATTTTCTTCCACGAATTCTCTTTATGATACCGAAATATAGCCACGTCTTAACTCGATTCTAAACGTGGCTCAAATCTTTTCACCTTATTAATAATCACATAGTGAATGGCAATATACATTTCTGGAAGATCCGAGGTGAACCTGCGTAAGTTTTCTACATCCAATTCATGCGTTACAAAGCGTATTCTGTATGGAAGCGGAACTTGCTGAATAACATGGAAACAGGAAGCCGGAACGTTTCCAGCCGGAAGTAGTCATTTTCTTTATTTAGAATGGAAAGTACTGAAGTTTTATTTGGAAGATATCCGCGTTTATCATTTTAAAAACCAGTGCAACAGAAGACAGATTCCAACACGGTCAGAAAACGTCCCGTAGTTTCAAGAAGCAGTGAATATGTAATTATTATCTAATAGCGTTCACACAATATGAACGTGCGGAATATAATCTATTTTTAAAGGGGTAGAAAGGCGTCATTTCGGAGTGGATAATTTGATACGATTTTATCAGACACGGCACATAATTGTAATTTGCCGGACAGAACGACAACTATAATACTTATCTGAAATGCCTGTACAAACTCCCTGACTCAGTATTTGACGTCTTCTTCTGGGAAGATAAGAACAGCACACCAGAAGACATGGTTAGTGTCATGTGTTCAACCTGCTCGTATATCGATCGTTTGACCTTGGGATTTGAATACATTTCAGTAACGTGATTCATGACCCATTTCAAGACTAGATACAACGTAAATTCTCTCGTTTTGTGTATATATCCTACATAATTCTGGATCCTCAGTCAGTACATGCAGTTTCAGGATGGACGCACACCAAATGCGTCAAGACAAGCATCAAGACGTGAGACAAAAGACGCAGTCTCGCTTCATTCGTGATTCGTCAGCATTATGACTCAGACCGGTGTGCGGCGGTTTTCATGATCTCATTCGTTTCAACTGTGCTCCTTTCTTTGCGTCATGTCGCAGATATCGTGTCTTGACTGTTACATGTCTTGACGCATGCCGGTGTGCGGCCTACCTTGCATCTCCTTTCATTACACTTCATGCTCTAAGATTCTTACTAAATGGCCCTATAATGGACATGGAAGACAAACCTGTATAACTCTACGGTGCTATAAAATAAAGGTTAATTTTAATCTTCATTTTTCCTTCTTTGCCGCAAATGAAGATATCACTGATTCTGACAGAGGTATCGCTCTCCTCGAGAAATTACTGCTGCGCGCGCATCAACTCGCGAGATTTTAGTGTATGTTCCCGCTGAATTGTGGTAGTGATATCATGTTGTAAGAACGTGGCTTTACTTATTTCTAAACTTATTAACCTGTAATTACTGGCTTAATATTGGGTACAGTGTTAAATCTGAAAGGGTGATTTAAAGATAAATATTAACAGTGTCGAGTTTAAAGTGACTTTACGAACTGTCGTTTGTCAACTTACGGCAGAAGCATGAGGATTTACAGTGGATGTGAGTACTGTATCTCTCTTTTAAATGTAGTAGTTTAAGAAAGTTTTCATATGTCATTGGTTGTTACCCATCCCACATATGATTAAGCCAATGGTTGTTACCCACACCGCATATGATAAAAGCTTGAGCCGTGATGTTAGATTAGCAATGAATCACTAGGCGTCAAATTGAGACGAGCAGCCGACAGGAACACGTTTGTCCGACACGATTGCATCTGCTTCCCAAAATTAGTTTCAGCGTTATTGTAATAATCTGGTGCA